CTGTGCTCCGGGCTGGAGCACCACGGCAGAATACAAGGAAGCCGATATCATTGAGTGCATGAACATGCAAGCGGTCGAATACGCAAAGAAGGGCGGTATCATCACAGTAAGTCATCATCTGCCAAATCCTGTGTTTGGAGGAAATAACGCGAACGGAAACGGAGCCTACAAAACGGCAATATATAACAACGATTATGCTGCCATTCTTAAGGAAGGAACTCCTCAAAGGAACAGGTGGTGGAACACGATGGAAAAGATCGCTAAAGGTCTCCAAGGCTACAAGGACCGTGGAATTACCGTCCTCTACCGTCCACTTCACGAAATGAACGGTGACTGGTTCTGGTGGGGAGCTCTTCAAGACGGAAGTCAAAACGGAGAGAGACAGCGCCTCTTCAAGCTGCTGTGGCAGGACCTGTTCTACTTCATGCAGAAGAAGGGCTTGGATAACCTCCTTTGGGTCTACTCCCCCGATCATAGCAGACCATCAAAAAGTGATTTCTATCCTGGCGATAACTTCGTCGACATCGTTGGCTTGGACTGCTACACCGATGATCCAACCAAAATAAACGGCTACGATGAAATGATTCGCTTTGGAAAGCCTTTCGCCCTTGCAGAAGTCGGACCTGGTACGACCAACGGACAGTTCGATTACGATAGATTCGTGAAGGCAATCATCTCCAGCTATCCCAAGACTGTTTACTTCATGCCTTGGAACGGCGGATGGAGCCCAGTTAAGAACAAGAACCCTTGGGGGGCTTACAACAACCCTAAGGTGGTCAACTTGGGAGAACTGAGAGTGCGATAAAGCATCTCAAATGTTTATTTAGCATTTGATGTGATTTCTTTAATCATCTATCATTAAAGTTCTTTTTTTCCATTCCATTTTATTCTTTTCTTCAATGCAATACCACTCATAACCCCTTTGGACTTCCTTGAAGAATAACCTAGTGTCCTGATGTATCAAAGCATTATACGTAGGACTAGAAAGACATTTCGCAGATTATTGTTCCTCTTAATTCCTATAGTTATTGCTCTAATAATCTGGACAGAATATCTTCGTTTTATTGCAATTAACCACCATGTACATTTTCATTGATGAAAATCTCAATGACCGATTCAAGAACAGAGTAAGTGGATGAAAATGTCACAAACCCTTCTATTCTATATAAGTTCAACATTATAGATAAATTGTGCCCTTATTAGCAACAGTTAGAAAAAAATTAGTGAGCGCTTCAGAATTAATTTCACTTACCGCTCTGCATTGAATAGAAATTATTTTCTGTCAGTGTTGGGCTGTTACAAAGTTTTTGAAATGTATTTTTAACTGAGCTAAACCTTAATAAACATTACAGCTAACCTGCATCAATCCGCTAAGGCCATTAAAATATTACACACCCTATTTATTGTATTGGAGGTAGGCAAGGAACTCCGTCTGTTTTTGTAAACCACATAACTACAGTCTCTGAGCTTTATATGCCTAGAGAGATTTGAAAGTGCATCTGTATCTTCAACCAACATATAGATGATTATGAATTGTACTACTATGAGTTCTTAGACTCTTACGCTCTCACTAATTGTAAGTGGATAATATGATTTCACAGAGGGAAAATACGTCAAATTATTCGTGAATTTAATTTTCTAACATGTTACATGACGATTTTTAAAAATTAAACGACGATAGATAATTAATTATTATTTAAATATTTTATCAGATCTAGATATATTTAATTACAGTAAATGTATTGATTATAAACATATGGTTTACTCATCTATGCAATATTTTTATATTTCACTTCTTATTTCACACAAGTTGGTGTGGCTATGTTATTTGGACTCGGGATACTTCAAAACACGTACTTTCGTAGAAAACTCAGATTAGAAAATTTTCAAGATCGCAATACTTTCCCTTACTATATATTTCATATATGGATAAGTGAAAGTAAAAAGTCTGCCAACTGAACCCAGTATTGCTACCTCGTCATTTTTACTAGTTCCACGCTCACCAATTATATCACTAGGTCAATGATTTTTCGTTATTGAATAAATTAATTATCGAATCCTCCCTACTCTTCAAATTTAGGGCAAATCGAACATACGGCTTTTTATTAAAAGGGCTTAGGAAAATATGTTTTCGCATGTATAAGAGAAAGTAGACGATGGAATTCAATAAAATCGATATAGAATCATTATTTTATCTAAACTCACCTTTGTGATATGTCCGTCACATCGATTTGACGACAGACAGGCACCGATCAAAATTTGATCCTTGAAGCCTGAAACATAAAACGCGAGTGGAATTTTTCGCTCCGCGAACACAACCTTTTTTACCTTCTCGCAAGAAGAAAAAGCTTCCCTATCCGCGGTAGCGAGGAAGCAAAAATATTTAAACAATTGGTGTAATAATCGGGTACCTATTACTACACATACAGCTCCTAGTAAGTAGATCAGAGTCATGATTTTGGTTAGAAAGGTGGTGGACACACAACTAGTATACTAATTTTAAATATTATTTTATGTTAATTCCCCTTAAAATTTACTAATCTTTCTAAGTAGGTATTTAAATTCATTCCCTTATGATACATTAAGATTTACCAATTTTTATAGTCGGTGTTTTTTTTTTTTATTAGAATATTTTTTAAGGATAGATAATCCACTTAAAATATTTCAGTGCCACCAATAGTACCTTTTTCCTACCTCGAACCTTTGTCGATAAATGATTTTTTAATTACTCTAAGGTATCTCAAAAATCATCAGCTTTCATTTTCAAAATTTAAAATGAATTTACCAAAAGATAGCAACCAATTTGTAGGAAAATATCACATCTCTTATTTAGACTGCCTTAGCAGTCAAAGCAAAATATAGAAGTAAAACTGCATAGATTTCATAAACACCCGGTATCATCTCAAGCGATGAATTATCTAGTTACAGTCAGGTGTAGTAGAAAAAGTTTCTTCACTTTATCAGCTTCCTGATGCTATACCGAAATTTGTGAAACCAGTCTAATTTCATAGTAATATTGGACGTTGGGAGGTAAAATAACGATGCATAGCTATAACAATATTGGTAGATACCTAATATTTTTACTTTCACTTACCCTATATATGTAATATATAGTAAGGGAAGGTATTGCAATAGTGAAAATTTTCGAATCTGAGTTTTAAACGGAAATACACGTTTTGAGGTACCCCCTGAGTCACTCTAGCTCAAAAACGAAAAGTCGTACGAAACTGTTATTATGTATTTAAGATAGGTATATTCCTTAGACGTCACTGCAACTTTTTCATTAAAATCGGCTAACTGGAAGTGCCACTATATATTAACGGTTAAACATTTTTTTTACAATTTTGTTATAACCGGCTCTAACGATCCTAATTAAACTCGGTACATCATTGTACAATTAATTGGCCTTTAATATCATTTAGGTCTTATACCCGTTGATGTCACTTTACAGGGCTAAAATGCCCAATGCTCATATGCGTCTTCCTTTAAAGTACCTTTAATATCGTTTATTTAAAAAAATTAACACTCTTCCATTATTAAGAGTTATAAAGAAACGCTAAATACGACTTTCGAAAAAAAATTGATATTTAAATGAAGTAGAAAAAAAAAAGAAAATTACTTTTCCAGGTTGAAAATGAATCTCCGGAAATACTAGTCAGAAGGTACACGTATAATATAACGTTGGTAAGTAGAGAATGTTATAAAAACATTATCTAATATAGAAAGTTGTACAAGCTAGCGGAGAGTGGTGAAAAAAAATAATTCCTAAAAACTAACATTGCTCAACGTAAATTACGCGTTTTCAAGGAAATTTAATGAAATTTTCTCACCAAATGTAAACTTTTACAATTTTTTTTTTAAGTTTGAGAAATTATTTAAAACCCACGGATTCAAGACAATGACGTTGTTTAAGATACTATTTCATTGTACTTAAAAGAGAAAGTGAAATATAAAAATATTTCATGGATGCGTTTATGACCTCAAATATATTTGCGGTAGTTTAATAATTCTAGATGTGATATTATATTAAAATAATTAGGTATCTATCGTCCGTTTATCCCGAAAAGTCATCATGTAACCTTTTATAAAATTAAATTAGTGAATAATTTGCTGAATTTTCCCTTTCTGATATTCCAACAGTACCCGCTTCCGATTCGTGTGACAACTTTTGACAATACGAATCTCCTAATTCCATTTTAGTAAACTTTGCAATGGAAAATAACACTTTAATAACTAATAGTCGTGCCATCCATAATCATCGGATCGTGCAACCCACAATCAACCGGTGAAAGAAAGGAGTTCACAAACCTATTGAAATTAAAAATATCACTGCCAAAAAGAATATGTACCTCCTAACAGTATGAATTTTTCGGTTGTAATTAGACTTCACAAAAAAGATGTCCATTTCTTGTGAAAATTACAAACGTGAGCGTAAGTGCATCGTCAGAATTGTGTCAAGGTTAGTAGTATATATCGTTTACAGATTCTCAGATCCATTATAACCGAATAAAAAATCACGGGTACTTGTTATGTTATACGAAAAAGTCCTTGTTCCAAAATAATAAAATAGTAGTTCAAAATAAAAATTGTAATAAATTCAAATCTGATCGAACTACTCATTTCAAACACTGAAAGAGATATTAATATCCAAATGGATTCGCCAAAATAAATAATGACGGCAGGTCTGATCATCTGTTTGGATTCGGAGCTTGATTGGTTTCGTTAGGCTCATACATAATACATAAGTACACACAAGTGGTTTGTCCCCCACTGAGAACAACTGCACAACTGCAATATAAGCCAGTGCGAGTAATTCTGTGACCAGTGTTCACCTGCTTCTGTAAGGTAAGTTTCGTACTGATATCAAGATCAAACCTAGATTAGCACGAAGGTTTTGATCGAGCTCTATGCGTATTGGAGTAGAAGGATCTTATACTTTTAAATTGTTGTCATCACTGCTTTAACAATTCGATTTATTTTTAGAAAGCAACCCAAGGAACATGGTCTTGAAGGCTTTACTGTTCACTACTCTCCTTTGCTATGCGGCAGAGGTAAGTAAATTATGGATTATTTATTTATTAATAAAAGGAATAGATATTTATTAAAACAAACATTTTCTTATTATTTGTAGAGCGTACAGTCCGCAGCTAATCCTAAAGCCAACGCCAATGCGAAAAAGCTATTGGCAGCTCTGAGTGGACTAGGAGACCGTGTCCTATCTGGAGCCTTTGGTGGCTACACCAACGTCGGCGATGAGAACGGCTTCTCCATGGGACAGGCTAACCAGATACAACAGTGGACCAAGAAGTTACCCGCTGTCTATGGAATCGACTGTGCTCCGGGCTGGAGCACCACGGCAGAATACAAGGAAGCCGATATCATTGAGTGCATGAACATGCAAGCGGTCGAATACGCAAAGAAGGGCGGTATCATCACAGTAAGTCATCATCTGCCAAATCCTGTGTTTGGAGGAAATAACGCGAACGGAAACGGAGCCTACAAAACGGCAATATATAACAACGATTATGCTGCCATTCTTAAGGAAGGAACTCCTCAAAGGAACAGGTGGTGGAACACGATGGAAAAGATCGCTAAAGGTCTCCAAGGCTACAAGGACCGTGGAATTACCGTCCTCTACCGTCCACTTCACGAAATGAACGGTGACTGGTTCTGGTGGGGAGCTCTTCAAGACGGAAGTCAAAACGGAGAGAGACAGCGCCTCTTCAAGCTGCTGTGGCAGGACCTGTTCTACTTCATGCAGAAGAAGGGCTTGGATAACCTCCTTTGGGTCTACTCCCCCGATCATAGCAGACCATCAAAAAGTGATTTCTATCCTGGCGATAACTTCGTCGACATCGTTGGCTTGGACTGCTACACCGATGATCCAACCAAAATAAACGGCTACGATGAAATGATTCGCTTTGGAAAGCCTTTCGCCCTTGCAGAAGTCGGACCTGGTACGACCAACGGACAGTTCGATTACGATAGATTCGTGAAGGCAATCATCTCCAGCTATCCCAAGACTGTTTACTTCATGCCTTGGAACGGCGGATGGAGCCCAGTTAAGAACAAGAACCCTTGGGGGGCTTACAACAACCCTAAGGTGGTCAACTTGGGAGAACTGAGAGTGCGATAAAGCATCTCAAATGTTTATTTAGCATTTGATGTGATTTCTTTAATCATCTATCATTAAAGTTCTTTTTTTCCATTCCATTTTATTCTTTTCTTCAATGCAATACCACTCATAACCCCTTTGGACTTCCTTGAAGAATAACCTAGTGTCCTGATGTATCAAAGCATTATACGTAGGACTAGAAAGACATTTCGCAGATTATTGTTCCTCTTAATTCTGATTAATTCCTATAGTTATTGCTCTAATAATCTGGACAGAATATCTTCGTTTTATTGCAATTAACCACCATGTACATTTTCATTGATGAAAATCTCAATGACCGATTCAAGAACAGAGTAAGTGGATGAAAATGTCACAAACCCTTCTATTCTATATAAGTTCAACATTATAGATAAATTGTGCCCTTATTAGCAACAGTTAGAAAAAAATTAGTGAGCGCTTCAGAATTAATTTCACTTACCGCTCTGCATTGAATAGAAATTATTTTCTGTCAGTGTTGGGCTGTTACAAAGTTTTTGAAATGTATTTTTAACTGAGCTAAACCTTAATAAACATTACAGCTAACCTGCATCAATCCGCTAAGGCCATTAAAATATTACACACCCTATTTATTATATTGGCGGTAGGCAAGGAACTCCGTCTGTTTTTGTAAACCACATAACTACAGTCTCTGAGCTTTATATGCCTAGAGAGATTTGAAAGTGCATCTGTATCTTCAACCAACATATAGTAGTCTGTGGGCCAGACCCCCTCACCGTGCACCCCCCCCCCACATCCCTATAAATTGCATATCGTTGTGTTCCTTGTAACTATTTATTAAAAAAAAGCCAATGTTCCCACAAAAAAAAGTGAACGCACTGCCCCAAAATGGCGTCCAAAGATGGCGGATTGACGACTTTGACTTTAGTTAGTTTTTTGGTCACTGCGAATCAGCATTTGGCTTAATTTCCTCATAGTTGGTCTTTTATTAAAGCTGAATAGTTATAGAATAATAAACCATGAAGAAATATTAAAAAATAATTGGCTTAAGTTATGAAAAACACTACTAAAGTCAATATTTTTAACAAAAAAATTTTCAAGTTAAAAATCAAGCGTCATTTGTAATAAAACGGCCTACAATAACGCAAAACGTGCTGAAACAAACCATCTGGAGAATATATTTTTATTTCCAAAACGCTGATTATTTCTTTAAAACTTTTGAACAGTTCCGTATAAAATGCACTTATGCGGCAGAAAAGCGGTACTGGCGTGGGTGCCTACAGGCCTCTACCACACCATTCAGTACACATAAATGGCTTAGTTAAAGTGATATAATAACATTTTTGGTACATTAGATTGGTTTTATTAACGAAAAAATATTAATGCAATAATTTAATTGTAAAAAAAAAATTAAAATTTTTTTAAAAAATTTAATAATTTTTTTTTTATTTAACCTTCTTTATTCTACACGTAGGTCGTTTAAGAAGACCTTGATTGTAACAATGATATAATTATAATAATAAAACTTAATTAAAAAACTTTGCTCTTAAAAAATCTTGATTTTTTTTTTATTTCACGTTTGCAATTTAACATTTTGTTTTGTATATTTACTGATTCTTAAAGGTAATTAAAATTTATATATACTTCCCAGGAAATGAGTCGTATTAATACCTGTTTTATAAACTAAAATAATATATACCTAATCTGAACTATATATAATGAATAGCTACCGGGTTGTTTAGTAAAACTCATATATCACTAATTAAAAAATTAATTTTTATTTCCTTTATTTTGTGCGGAAGTTGGACTATATCATAAATAAATAGGAAATTTTATTATTGAATGAATTATTCTCTCTGCACAAAGAAAGATAGAAACGGTGACGCTATAAGTTCTTCTATAAGCCAGAACTGATTGTTTGGATTTGGTCTTGAAATGAGGAAAAAGGCGAAATTGAACCCGAAAACTGGAAAAATACATTAAGCGAACGAGAAAGGAAGTGCCAAAACCTCGGAAAAGATAAAAAGTACCAGTATCCATTATATAGCTAAATGAATCTATAGTAGACAGATGAAGAGAATATTTCAAGATGCTGCTACAAGGGGGTCAATTGCAGTTTGGATGATATTAAGTGGACGATGTAGGTTTATTATGGTAAAAACCACTTTATTTTCGATTGCTGAAGGTGCACATCGGGACTATCTTCACTTTGAAGCAGTATATAGAGATGTATATCGAGAAAATTATAGCTCATAGCTCTCCTTCTGCTTAGTGCATTTGCAAACGATTTTTTAAGGAATCTGAAAGGAAAACCTGCTTTTTCTGAAAGACAATTAGATATTAGCACAATCCAAAGTGTGAGGCATTAAGGAGATAGAGAGATATTTTTCGTTGTATATAGACTTCTCTATAACCTGCCTTAAAGTGAAGCCAGTCTCAATTTTCAACTTCTCTTCCAATGTGCAACTTGAGTTTCTCAATCCATATCGCTCTGACAATCTACAATATTTCTTATTCCAGCTTCTACGATTCTTGAGTATAATCTGTTTGGTACACTAAACAGGAACGGATCTTGATGGGTATTACATTAAGAATCGTAGAAGCTGGAATAAGAAATACTGTCGATTGTCAGAGCGATATGGATTGAGAAACTCAAGTTGCAAATTGGAAGAGAAGTTGAAAATTGAGACTGGCTTCACTTTAAGGCAGGTTATAGAGAAGTCTATATACAACGAAAAATATCTCTCTATCTCCTCAGTGCGTACTCTTTGGATTGTGCTAATATCTAATTGTCTTTCAGAAAAGCAGGTTTTCCTTTCAGATTCCTTAAAAAATCGTTTGCAAATGCACTAAGCAGAAGGAGAGCTATGAGCTATAACTTTCTCGATATACATCTCTATATCCTGCTTCAAAGTCAAGATAGTCCAGATGTGCACCTTCAGCAATCGAAAATAAAGTGGTTTCCACCATAATAAACCTACATCGTCCACTTAATATCATCCAAACTGCAATTGACCCCCTTGTAGCAGCATCTTGAAATATTCTCTTCATCTGTCTACTATAGATTCGTTTAGCCATATAATGGATACAGGTACTTTTTATCTTTTCCGAGGTTTTGGCACTTCCTTTCTCGTTCGCTTAATGTATTTTTCCAGTTTTCGGGTTCAATTTCGCCTTTTTCCTCATTTCAAGACCAAATCCAAACAATCAGTTCTGGCTTATAGAAGAACTTATAGCGTCACCGTTTCTATCTTTCTTTGTGCAGAGAGAATAATTCATTCAATAATAAAATTTCCTATTTATTTATGATATAATCCAACTTCCGCACAAAATAAATGAAATAAAAATTAATTTTTTAATTAGTGATATATAAGTTTTACTATACAACCCAGCAGCTATTCATTTTATATAGTTCAGATTAGGTATATATTATTTTAGTTTATAAAACAGGTATTAATACGACTCATTTCCTGGGAAGTATATATAAATTTTAATTACCTTTAAGAATCAGTAAATATACAAAACAAAATGTTAAATTGCAAACGTGAAATAAAAAAAAAAATCAAGATATTTAGCAAAGTTTTTTAATTAAGTTTTATTATTATAATTATATCATTTTTACAATCAAGGTCTTCTTAAACGACCTACGTGTAGAATAAAGAAGGTTAAATAAAAAAAAATTATTAAATTTTTTAAAAAAATTTTAATTTTTTTTTTTTACAATTAAATTATTGCATTAATATTTTTTCGTTAATAAAACCAATCTAATGTACCAAAAATGTTATTATATCACTTTAACTAAGCCATTTATGTGTACTGAATGGTGTGGTAGAGGCCTGTAGGCACCCACGCAAGTACCGCTTTTCTGCCGCATAAGTGCATTTTCTACGGAACTGTTCAGAAGTTTTAAAAAAATAATCAGCGTTTTGGAAATAAAAATATATTCTCCAGATGGTTTGTTTCAGCACGTTTTGCGTTATTGTAGGCCGTTTTATTACAAATGACGCTTGATTTTTAACTTGAAAATTTTTTTGTTAAAAATATTGACTTTAGTAGTGTTTTTCATAACTTAAGCCAATTATTTTTTAATATTTCTTCATGGTTTATTATTCTATAACTATTCAGCTTTAATAAAAGACCAACTATGAGGAAATTAAGCCAAATGCTGATTCGCAGTGACCAAAAAACTAACTAAAGTCAAAGTCGTCAATCCGCCATCTTTGGACGCCATTTTGGGGCAGTGCGTTCACTTTTTTTTGTGGGAACATTGGCTTTTTTTTAATAAATAGTTACAAGGAACACAACGATATGCAATTTATAGGGATGTGGGGGGGGGTGCACGGTAAGGGGGTCTGGCCCACCGTGTATAGATGATTATGAATTGTACTACTATGAGTTCTTAGACTCTTACGCTCTCACTAATTGTAAGTGGATAATATGATTTCACAGAGGGAAAATACGTCAAATTATTCGTGAATTTAATTTTCTAACATGTTACATGACGATTTTTAAAAATTAAACGACGATAGATAATTAATTATTATTTAAATATTTTATCAGATCTAGATATATTTAATTACAGTAAATGTATTGATTATAAACATATGGTTTACTCATCTATGCAATATTTTTATATTTCACTTCTTATTTCACACAAGTTGGTGTGGCTATGTTATTTGGACTCGGGATACTTCAAAACACGTACTTTCGTAGAAAACTCAGATTAGAAAATTTTCAAGATCGCAATACTTTCCCTTACTATATATTTCATATATGGATAAGTGAAAGTAAAAAGTCTGCCAACTGAACCCAGTATTGCTACCTCGTCATTTTTACTAGTTCCACGCTCACCAATTATATCACTAGGTCAATGATTTTTCGTTATTGAATAAATTAATTATCGAATCCTCCCTACTCTTCAAATTTAGGGCAAATCGAACATACGGCTTTTTATTAAAAGGGCTTAGGAAAATATGTTTTCGCATGTATAAGAGAAAGTAGACGATGGAATTCAATAAAATCGA